AAACACTTTAAATAATTACTTTGAATACTGCATACAAGTTCCACCATAAATGGCAAGGGGGTGGAAGAGGGGGTTGGGAGAGGGAGAGAGAGAGCCATATATTTACTTTCATTTAACTGCTTCCTCTGCTAAAAAATGAAAAAAGAAAGTTTTTCATTGAATTGTGAGAAAGGTAAATTTTGGGCTTAATTTTACAAGTGAAATCCATAACTTGATATAATCAATGCTATGGCTAAATTCCTCCATACTTTAAAAAAAATCATACACTTGGTTGTAGAAAAGAAATAGACTACATTCATCATCATCTGCATGGCAAAATACACCCTTACAAAACCCTGAAATACAAAAAGGTTTTTTTTTTTCAGAGCTGCACACTCCGAGGAGAAAACATCTCCTCTACTTTCACAATATGTACCACACACTGTATTTGTGAAATAACAAATTTTACTTACAGCAGCAACAGGGATGAGAATTTCTACAAACAAACCAGCAAGCGAGTGCTTTATGTCTTTATCTTTTACCTCCAAAAAATACTGTGCACATTCCTGCAAGAAAATAGCTATCAAATTTCTGCTGTGCATCACCTTGTTTAGTAAGAATAAGTGAAAATAACAAAAAACAAAAGCTTATAGATTGTAGTTAAAGTATCAGACACAGGCAGCCAAAATAGCCCAGTTTAAACTGGAATGAATTTGGGAACCTTCTTAAGTTATACAGCTCTTCAAAACTTTTATTCTATATACATAAGCTTCAGCTGACTGAGCTAAAGTACACAAACAGACATGAACAATGTTCTCCCATGCAAAATTCCAGGTTTTGGAAAGTATTATATCATTGCCCCTTTTTGCTAATATTTGTGATGAATCAAATGCTGAAAGAAAGAGTGTTCAAGTATTTGTGATACGCAGTTACATGTATTATGGGGAAAATGCTGCTTTTTTTCAAGTCTTGAAGACCACTGCTATAGTTGATATTTTGAAGCCATTACAAAATCTTCAAAACAATGACATGGTAGGAAAAAAACTGTCTGGAGTTGGTACCGATTAGGCTCCTGCAATGCTGCATCCAAAAACAATTTTTCAGAAAAAAAATCCCTGTATGTTTTCAGGATGCACTATGTCATACAAAGCCAAACACTGGCTTCCAAAATTTTGCCTAGTGATGTATGAGAAGAACTCAACAATGCTATCAAAGTAGTTAATTATGTGATAAGCAAGGCATTAAACTTCAGCTTGTTTCCCTTCCTTTGTGAATATTTGGTAGTGTGGATCACAAAGTTCTTCTGTTCCACTTTGATTTCAATTGTTGTCAAACAGAATGATGTTGGGACAAATTATAACCTGAAGGAAGAAACTGTCCTTTTTTGGCATATCATGGAGAAGACCAAGTGGCTGAAACTTTCAGAATGATGGCTTTCCACCACTATTATTGTTCTTTGTGATATAATTCAAGAATTCATAGCCAATCTTTAGCTATGGATACAATGAGTTCGGGTTAATGAGAGCTTGATGAAGCTCTTAAAAGACAAAGATCCTGAAAATGATCTTAGGGAAAAACTTGAATCTCATGTAGTCTGGTTGCAAGATGAATTCAGGAAGCACTTCCCAGAAGTCATGGCTAAAATCTTATTTGGAAACTTATGAGGAACCTGTTTATCTAACCCAAGAAGAGTTTTTCAAAAATCAACTTCAACCACACATTTCCAAAGGACTACCATATGGTTAACTGAATTTAGATTCCTCTGCTGAGTCGCTTTCTCTTTTCTTTCCTAATAATACCTATATCATTGTTGGGGGGGGGATGTTAATTAGTTTTACCATGCATAAATGCATCAGATTACTAGTTGTAGTGGGCTATACATTACAGAAAATAGACAATATATAAACCCCTATATCATTTGGATTTTATTCCAGATATGTTGGGATTAGAATTCCAGAATTCCTAGCCAAGAGCTTTTTGCTGATCATCAGGTAGGGGGAGGTTACTCTTCTAATTTAAGTTTAGTCTGCTGTTCTTCTTTTTAACTTGTTAAATACTGAACAAATTTCAACTATCTAGCACACATTATACTTCTGTTCCATGAATTGCACTGGTTACCAGAATGTTTCTGGGTTCAATTCAAGGTGCCGGCATAACCTATAAAGCCCTTTACTGCATGGGACTGGGTTATTTGAGGGACCACCTCTCCCTGATTACATCTATCCATCCCATTAGATCCAGCAGGAGAGGAATGCTCTGGGTTCTGCCTGCTAGAGAGTGCCATCTAGTGGGGCCAAGGAAGAGAGGCTTTTCTGTCACAGCACCCCCTCTTTGGAACATCATCCCCTTGGAGATCAGATTGGCCCCAACCCTACTGGCAAAATTTCTGTAAGGCCTTAAAGTCTTGGTTTAGCCATTGGGCTTGAGGACCTGGGTGCGTGGTAGAGCCTGTACAATGGCTATGCTGACTGTTGTTGGCAGATCTTGGTATACCTCAGCTACTGATTTGTGTTATTGTACATTTTTTTAATATTGTTTTTATATATATGTTTTGGGGGGGGTTATTATCCAGTTTTAATTGCTATGAATTGCCCAGAGTCATGCATTTGAAATGGGCAGCTATATACATTGAAGTAAGAAATAAATTCATAAATAAATTCACTAGCAACTCAGCAAACAACAAACATAGTAATTACCAGTCTGGATGACCCTATCTCAGCTTTTTAGGCTAAGATAAACAAACTTTCTTGCTATGCCTATAGTCCCTGTATTCTTCCATTTGCAGCATAATACAGCTTAATTATCAGTAATTCAATTAGAAGCATGTTTAAGACTCTATATAATTTTAAATATGGCAATCATAATTTTTCTAATTGGTGAAATGGGCCCTAAGAGATTCTGGAATTCTCTGTATTCCTACCTGCCTTCTTGTTTACTCCTAAATCTTATACAAGCCCTCCCTTTTTTTACCCTCAAAGCCTCACATCATTTTAATCATCTTCTCTCTTTGCCCTTACACCCCTATATATCTTTACATCTAATTTTCATTCATTTACTCCTTAAAGACTCCACTCTTGCATATTCTTGCAGCTACCTTCCAAAAGATCTGCATTATGCCACTTCTACTTCCTGCAAATTCCTCTCTCTCACACACATTATTCCCAAATCAACCTGCAATTACTATGCTTTACTGCAACTAAGTTATAATCAAACCTAAGCATAAATCACTTAATTATAAGTCGTGTTCTTTTTTCAACCACATTCCAGGATATTCTGTCCCCAACCTGGTTTTTTAGATCTTCCAACTGTACACTCATTGCCACTGTAATTGAGTCCATCCGTCTTGCTGATGGTTGTCTTCTTCTCTTTCTTTCTGTCTTTCCCAGCATTATTATAGGCTTTTCCTGAGAGCTACATCTTCATATAATGTGTCCAAAGTATGATACAGTGGTACCTCGGGATACGAACTTAATCCGTTCCGTGACTCTGGGCGTATCCCGA